TCTTTCATTATTTCTTTTTCAATAATTTTCTAAAATCTTCTTCTTTGAAGTGAGTTTGCGCCACGCTTCGACTTCATTCGATGATTGAAAACGTTAATATTACGGTGACATATCTACAAAGAATATAGATATTAAAATAATATCTGAGCAGAAATATAGTATATATCGCTATCGTTTCCGGATATTTGCATCCCTAGTTTTTAATCTAAAACAAAACGGATAGCGGATGTGTATGGAACGTAAAGAAGCGGTATCGTAAATTTATGGAATGTTCAGCATGTGAATAGAGTTCAATTACAAACACGTCCGAGTGCCAAAATCACAACAACGTTGAGATAATGAGGAACGGGCAACGAGGATACACATAGAGCAAACATCGCCTATCGAACGAACGCTACGGCTAAAACTAACAGGCTTTTGAACAGCGCTTAATTAATTACAGCTTTGATCGTTATCTCAACTTTCTGGCACGCCGGCCGAATTTTCTAATTCAACTCTTCCGTTAATTCTAGCGTAGTTCATCGCACGGAGAGATATATAATCGCAATGAGACCCGCGGTTCTAATCTGTTTTTCTCTTTCATCCCGATTATATGATACGTGTATTGCTTGTAGGCTGTTCAAAAGTATACACATATCTTAATCTACTTCGAGGAAGAAGACTCGCATTAATCAATATGATTCATACCAGTGCATGAATTTCTTGTTCAAAGCTCAATTTAAAACTAGCTCCTTAAATTAATTAAAAAATTAAGATTTTCAGTTTGATAAAATTTTAACGCGCCTATTTATAAATCTTAATTGTGGGAGTAAATCAAAATTAATCGTGCAATCAAAATCACGTCACGATGGTGATAGCTCCTAAATAATATCTCGATATCCGGAATATGCCGGATTTGCAAGCGCGATTACGTAATTGGTATAAAAAAAGCTTCTTCTAACACTTCATGATGATAGCATTATCAGTATCCGATAAACTAATCATATCATGTGTCAAGATATTCAAATGATCAATTACTTTATCTAGATAATCCGGAGAGACATGCCGTTTATTTTGTAAATTTTTTTATTGTAATCTCGAACGTGCGAATTATTAAAGATTTAGAATTTTTTCTTATTTATTACATACAGAAATAATGACGCTGAATACTGATAACACAAATTTGGCTAATGATATCGATTATGCTAAGTTTCGTGAAAGCGGCACTTCGACGCAAATTGTCGAGTAAAATTAATTAATTTAAAAGCGTGCAGTCGTGCGTCATCGCGTATATCCCTTCGCCGTCGAAAATCGAAGACGAGAGACAACAGCCTTGCTTCGAAATCTCGTAATTGGGCGGGCAGGTCCTGACGAGAGTTCACCAAGAGCGAGATCTGAATCTGAAAGACGAGTCATTTCATCTCAATTCTTTTTCTTTCGGCGTCCTGAAACGATATGGCTGTCTCTTGTTCTAGGACGTTCCTTCTCCGATTTCTTTGGAAATTTCTTCCATCTCCCAACCTCATTTGCTTCTCATCGTCTTCTTCCTCGATAAAAAGAAAGGTGATTATCAATCGATTTCAATTTGAAAATTGATGAGAATTCTTCACGACTTCCGATTCCGGAAAAGTCTCGCCTTCGTCGTCCCGATCT